TCCATATTGGTCTGCTCTCCAATGCGAGAAGTAAACCAATTCCTCAACATCCATATAGGTCTGCTCTCCCGTGTGAGATGATAAACTAATTGCTCTTCAGTGCGAGAGGGTAAACTAATTCCCCAACACCTATCTGGGTCCACTCTCCAGTGGGAGAGGATAAACTAATTGCTCTCTAGTGCAAGAGGGTAAACTAATTCCTTAACACCTATATGGGTCTGTTTTCCAGTGCAAGAGGATAAAGTAACTGCTCTCAAGTGCGAGAAGGTAAATTAATTCCCCAACACCCATCTAGGCCTGCTCTCCAGTGCGAGAAGGCCACACAGCTAAAATGATTGAATACTTGAAGACCAGCTAAGCAGCAAATGGTCAGGGGGCAGCAACCACTTCGCACTCAACAATTCGCTCATCTAACACTTCATCTTCAGCAGCTTTGATCTTAGCAACTCCATCTACGGTAACTAAGAAATGAAACTAAAGCAGTTTCTTCATTCTTGGCAAGCAGGCCAGCCGTGACAGCCCAAACCATGGCCCATGCCACGCCACTTCCTCAGCCCATGCCGAGCTAGTCGTTGGCTTCAGTCAAGGTAAACAACACAAGTTGTGGCCCCTGCCACACCATCTCCTCGGCATATGCCAAGTCGACTTCTGGCCCCTACCAGCAGACGTGCCGCACCACCTCGACAGCTGTTCCGTGGCAGCACTACCCAAAAAGAAGACAAAGAAAATTAACGAAAGATGGTTCTTTGCAAGGGTAAGCAAAGAAAAGTGCTAACGGAGGGGGAACAAATATCCTCTAGCTTTCTCTCTTTCTTGTAGGGATAAATAATTGCCCTCCGAAGTTGATTTAATCCCCTACTTAAGGTAAGCTTAAATAGGCTTTGGATGCTATTTATTTCCCTTTCTTAGAAGAATCTAATTCCAAGTCCAAGTGGGAATCTGCATCAAGTTGGAGATCTCTATGCCTGCTACCCTTTCCTGCAAGCAGCCCAGTAGGTATGGGGGCATTTGTGGAGCAAAAAATAATCAAGAAAATTACGGAGACGACACGTGTACTTTTGGGTAAAAAGGACAAAATTACCCTTGAGGCACACCGGGATTCCCACGCACATGCAACAGACAATAACGGTTCAATCAATGAAGAGTTAAAGATGATCAAAATGGTATTTATTCAAAACCCTCTCATCACTCCTCATCAAATCCTCCCTCAATAGGTAACTCCAATTTCCTATTCAATTTGGGATTAATTGCCAAGTTAATTGCAAGATATTATTTCACATAATATCTTGCAATTACACTCACAGTTTGACCATATGCGGCCGGCCCCTATTCTCCAAATAGGGCCAGTCACTCCCCTATAAATAGCCATGCTTTCCCACTAAAATGCTAGACCATTCTCTCCTAAAAATTCGTAAACATTTTCTCTCTCAAATTTTAACTTTGGCATCGGAGATTTTTTGACCAAAAGTCTCACGTAGGCCAAAAGCCCACATCGCCCACGTTCATCGTGGGTGCGTGAGGCTTTTGGCTTTAATCTTAGGTATTATTATTTTGCAGGTGCATTTTCATCAAAGGAGAAGACGACGGAAATTTGCATCCACATCAATATGTTATTAAAAAAACATTGGCAATATGTTATAAAATAAGACATTATGTGATAACGAACTAGCTCAGTACATTTAATTGTTGTGAGATGAGATCATGAGGGCTTGTGTGGATTTTTTTTTTTTTAAAAAAAAAAAAAACTTGGCTACTCAAATGATCAATAGGAATTCTTACTTCAAATTGTTTTTTCGCCTCATAAAACTTCATGTTCATAACCAGAATTGTTTATATTATAAATCACTCTATAAATATCACATTTGCAAAAAATAAATTAAAACTAAAGTCGCTTAGTCGTTGATAAAAACAAATGAACTGAATTGATAAAAGCATTACGATATAATAGATTGACTAAACAATTTTAGTTTTAATTCATATTTTGCAGATATAATCTTTACAGTATAATTAATAATATGAATAATTATGATCATAAGAACAAACTTCAATGATTTAAACATGGAAAATTTTAAGTAGAAATTTCTACCTTTCAAGTGTTACGTTGATCGTAATTTGTCCATCCTGACTTTGTTTTATGAATGTTTTTCTACCTTTCAAAAAGAAAAATATATGAGATCATTGAGAGAGGTAGAGTGAGAGACCCAAGCATGCAGATAGAAGAGATGATTTGATGTAGAGCCTGTGCGGTGGGTGTGGGTAGGGTTCTTGTCTCAAAATCCGAGCATGATGTGTCTAAATCTGATTGTATCAATCTCTTCCCACCTCCACCTTCTCTTTATTTCTTTCTTTTGATTTTGACCTTGATTTTGATGGATGGACGGATGGGATGGCTGAGACAATCCATGCATGCTTAATTTAATCATTTAGTCGGTTGAATTTTGAAGCACTCCATTTCGAAAGTAAATTGAAACACTCCAAAAAATTTATTTTACATTTAAAATTTTTTATATTAGAAAAAAAATACATTAGTGATAAATATGAAATGAAATTTTTAGAATGTCAATAATACTTTTTTTTTCAAAACTGATGCTGTTTTTTGTACTACCCGTTCGTCCAAAAACTAATGAGATTACTTGGTTTTTCAGAATCTCGTAGTTATCTGATTGCCATGATTTTAATCCTAAATTGTTACATCCTCAATGTTTCATTTTTTTATCAATATAACGATTGATTTGAATTTCTGATTAGTTTAGCTTATTTATTTATTTATTTTGAGAATTGTTGAATATTGTAAATGAATAAATCATCTTCACCAAATTAAAGACTCGTAGACTACGGAAGAACCCTAAAAAATGTCACTAGTTTTGTTGGGAGTAAAATCACTAAATCAACTTCACCAACCATTCCTACCCGTTTTTCACTTTCTTTTTTACCTTTTCACCCTTTTGTCTGATAGAATAATGTCCACTTCCACTTCCACTTCCACTTCCAGTAAGATTTATTTTACTACCATTGTAAAGCATTGAGCGTAAATATGGTATAAAAGAAGAGGACGGGCCTCTTCAGGAGCTGTGCGTTTCCTTGCACCTTTTCAGATTTCAAGTTTTTCAACTTTAATTTTAAAAATACAAAATAGCGAGTATTCAAATTTTCACTTATATTGTTGCATTACAGGAGTATTGAGATAATAATTACGATTGTGATAAAGAACATAGAATCCCGCTTCTACTGTAGACAGTCAAATATTTGTCATTTTGTTTAGCTTGATATCTGGAAAATGATTGCAAAATCTTTTCTGTACAGTACTAGAAATTGATTTTGTACAATTCATCAGTTAAATATAGCATCATCTAATTAACTACTACATTAATTATTAAACAATTTAATTTAGAGAAAATTAAAATATTGATCCTAAGAGCATTGGGTGGAAGTTTGTCTATAAATTTAAAATTTGTAGAGTATTGTTATTTAAATTTGTTACAACGTGGAATAATGGTTATTTTATATAACACGGCAAAAATTTCTTTCAAAATAAGGAGTTTTAAGGACCAACTAATAAAAAAAACAAAAGCTCTAATGTAATTACTCAAAAAAATCATTACTCTACACCAATGCTTACGAATTTTTAAGTCTATCACAAAGCTCCAATTCAATGAAAGTATAGGAACCAAAGCTCAAGTTTTCTTTTTAGCTTATTCTTGTAATACTATTACGCTACTGTTATACAGTACCTTTTCGTTTCATCTTATTTATCTGACTCTGCCCTATATAAATTTTTGAGGATCGACTTTACTTTTAGCTACTTCCTGACTGTAATATGTTACTCTCCAACAGTGTTAAAAAGTAAAGCAGTAGTACGAAAATCCAATCACTCTCTCTATCTCACTTCCAAAGCTTCAGTTCTTTTACCAAAATCTTTATACGGAAAAGCGAATGCAAAAAATAATGCAAAGGTTTTGCAGAATACCAGAAACCATGCATGCTTTTTTTTTCTTATGCATTAGTTTCGCATGTTACTTTCAGGACACAACCCATGACGCAAAATTTAACAAAAACACATATTGTATTGGTTCTACAGCTCATATGTTTGATTTCATTAGTTTTCTCATGTTTTTAGAGAAGTTAATTTTGTGAAGAATAATTAACTGCTCTAGGACTAGGTCATAATATAGACTTGGATTGTACTTGATTTAGGTCAACTTCCAACGTTAAAAGGAATACCTTAATTACATTTTGATAACAAGTACACAAAATACCTTAAACCCTTTTTTTTTTTTTTTTTTAAATTATTTCTCTTAAAAGAACATAAGCTTGCCAAAAAAGTACTGGTATTATCAGACATCTCTGCATCCCATTTACAAATTTGTACTTATCAGAGAAAATGTAAACTAAAATAAAATAAAATATTTGAAATAATAAAAATTATGATGCTAAATCGATGGTGTGTATTAAATCATCAACGCTCTCTGTGCTTGTATTGGATTTATTAGTATGTACCGTACTGACATGAGAGATTGGGAACAGCTTTATCGAAACATGGTGAAAATCTCTACATCTCCTTTTTTCTTATGAGTACTGTAGAAATGGAAAATACAAAAATTAAAAATTTGTTTTCCTCTCTCACAAAAACCCAAAAGGGCTGTCTAAGGAAAGGATTCTTTTCTTTCTTTTTTTTATTTTTATTCTTTTTTCTTTTATTTAAACGATCACAATTAAATAACGTTAATATTTTATATTAATATTTTTTTTATAAAAGAAAAAAATAAAATAAAAAATGTGAAAGAAAAGAATAAAAAGAGAAGAGAGAATCCGAATTCTTCTCATAAAACTACTTCCTGTTCCCTCCCTTACGTTTTCTTCACTGACAGAGATTACCTGTACACTTTCTCACGCACGCACGCATACTCGAAACAGACTCCCCTAGCTCTGCACAGCCCACTCCCTCAGAAACATACATCACTCTCTCTCTCTCTCTCTCTCAATCTCTCTCTAGAGAGGAGAGAGAAAGGGGTAATGGATATGGCAGAGAGGAAAGACGACAGAGCAGAGAAAAACAGCCACAGAGATTTTTCCAGCTATATCAAACCTTATTGTATCTCCCTCTTCACTTTTTCCTCTCTGCCACTCAGATTCATTAAACCCTTTTCACACTCTTCCTCTCTCTAAAACCAAATATTGCAGCTACAAATCAAACGCTCACCTCCCCCCACATCCTCAAAACCCCTCACTACACTCCACTCTTTCCCAGACCCCTCCAGAATTCCTTTGGGGTTTTCTTCCCAACTACTTTCTCTACTGTTTTTTATTTTTTTTTGACTTCTCTCTCTGAACACCCATATGGACATGAACTTCTCCACCCACTTTGATCACGACACCTATCTGCCTCCCGGCTTCCGCTTCCACCCCACCGACGAGGAGCTCATCACCTACTACCTCCTCAAGAAGGTCCTCGACGGCAGCTTCACTGGCCGCGCCATTGCTGAAGTCGACCTCAACAAGTGCGAGCCTTGGGAGCTCCCTGGTAATTAATCAACTAATCAACTCCGCCTCATTTTAATTAATCCCAATATTTATTACACATAACTTGAAATAATTTACTTTACAATGTTGGGTTTCGATTAATCACAACATTTTTTTTTTCTAAATAACTTGAAATAATTAATTTCCAAATGTTAGATTTTGATTATAATTAGTTTATAAGTGTTGGGTGTTGATTAATTTTGCAGACAAGGCAAAGATGGGCGAGAAAGAGTGGTATTTTTTCAGCCTGCGCGATCGGAAATACCCGACGGGGCTCCGAACCAACAGGGCCACGGAAGCTGGCTACTGGAAAGCAACCGGGAAGGACAGGGAGATTTACAGCTCTAAGACATGTGCGCTCGTCGGGATGAAGAAGACGTTGGTTTTTTACCGCGGCAGAGCCCCCAAGGGTGAAAAGTCCAATTGGATCATGCACGAGTACCGCCTCGAGGGCAGATTTGCCTACCACTATCTCTCCAGGAGCACCAAGGTCCTCTCTCCCACTCTCTCTTGAAAGTTAATGGAAACTTAAACGATCATGCATTTCTAAGCAACATTTTAACATGTAATAAAGTTTTATTTCAAGAAGTCTCGTATCGTTTATAGCGAGGGTTAGGTAAATTATTTGGTACTGTGGGGGTTGCTAGCTAGGGTTAGGTAAGTATAACCTTCTATGTAGATTGTACTGATGAATCACTTGTCAATTAATGGCATTTACTGGTAGAGGATCTCTCTGTTGGTACTCCCTATATTCTCCTCCAAGCTGTCTTGTATCATAACATCGAACACCTGAAACTTGAAAATTTTGAGCATAAATAACAATTCTGAACCAAGATCTCAGTTACTTGAAACATTCATATATGCATGTGAAAGCCCGAGTTCAACTTCCTCTCTCAAATATCACTACAATTTCCATGTAATGTTTTTTTTCCACATTAATCGCTCGATATTTTTCTGATGTACATATAGTTTATCGAAATAGGTCACATTATTATTCTGCTATTAACTTCTGTAAGGTCTCCTCGTTTGCTGCAATTTTGTTTTTTTTTGTTGGGCATTAATTGCATTAGGGTTTAAATCATGCATATAGGAACGTCACCACCTACCCTTACTAATTTTTCACAAAAAGCTGACCCTTCTTTTCACCAATGTCGCCCATGGCATTGATTCACACACGTGCAGGACGAGTGGGTCATTTCCCGGGTTTTTCAGAAAAGCGGGTCGGCTGGCAACGGACTGGGATCCAAGAAGACCCGGATCGGCAACGGCTCCACCAGCAGCATCTCCCTCTACCCAGAACCCAGCTCCCCCTCCTCCGTCTCCCTCCCGGCCCTCCTCGATTCCTCCCCTTACCAACCCGTCTCCGCCGCTGGCGACGGCTGCTCTTACGACAGTCCAATCTCAAGGGAGCACGTGTCCTGTTTCTCCACCAACCCCAACAACAACGGCTTCAACTTCTCAGCCTCGCGCTTCGACTTGGCTCGCCCTCCGCCGCCCCAGCCGCAGAGCTTCGGCGGCGTCTCGGCCTTCCCGAGCCTCCGGTCTCTGCAGGAGAATCTCCAGCTGCCCTTCTTCTTCTCCCCAGTGCCGTCTCATCCCCCTGTCCACGTCGGCGGCTCTTTTGCTGGCGGCGGATCCTCTGTCGATTGCACCGGGAACTGGCCTCCGGCACCTGAGGAAGCCAGGACCGTGGGGCCCACGGAGCTGGATTGCATGTGGAATTACCACAAGACCGAGTGCCTTTGAAAACCCTAGAGGTTCCCACGCGTGCGGGGGCGTTATAAGACTTTTCGTCTAAAACGATCGTTGTGCAGTGCAATTAGCAGTAGTAGGGATAGTTTCGGTATTTCAGATGACTTTATCAGTAGTTTATGCTTGTTTTATGCTATGATTAAAACTCTATGGTGTTGTTTAATTAACTAAGTAATTAATTTGATGGTAAATTCAGTAAGTGCTTATTTACTGTGATATGCAGGACGGTATATGTGTCTGTAGTAATTGATCGGAACAGTGACAGGTGAATCTGATTCACCTGCATCTTGCATTATTTAATTAGATATTCTGATGCGGTTTGCTGTAGCTTTTTCTGAAGAAAATCTGGGTTTGCTTTAAATGGTAATTGCACGTATTCTTTGTGATGATGTTTGATTTGTCATTTGGATGTTATTAAGTCGATCTGGTGGGTATAGGATTTGCCTCGTTGATTTCTGCATAGGGTTTGCCAATTATTATCTTGCAGATGTAGAGCTTCGAGTCCTGTTTCATAGCATTATTGCACTTGTAAGATAAGCATAAAAGATCATGAAAGGGACTTGCGCTACCTCTAATTTCTTCGTAGTCTTCATTTTCTTAGTTGGAAAAAGAAATAAACACTATCTATATATATACTAGCTATCAGTGGTTACCTTGTTTATCTAGACACTAATTTCATTGATTACTTTCTTTATCTTGGCACTAATCTCATTTCTTAGCATTTCAAAAAGTAACTTAACAGTTTTCATGATCTATCTTACCCATGTTATTTTCTTCTTGGTGAGCCTGGTGTACGTCTCTATTTTCGTGCTTCTGCATTGTGACAACCTTAGTATCACCTATCTTGCTGCTAATTAGATTCATTAAGCTCGTACTCCGTATATTGAACTCAATTATCACTTCGTTCATGACGAGGCAGCCCTTGGCAGTCATAAGTTGTGCTGCATCTCTTATGTTGATCAGCCTTGATGACTTGTTTAGTTTCCCGAGGGTGTTGGACTTAAAGAAATTAATTTGGTATTATCTCCGTAATTATTGGTTGTAAATTTGAAATGCAATTTTCAATTGTATAACTACTATAGATTCTTACCACAAATGGACTCAAGGCACCCATATGTTGTGTTATATTATACTTTACACAACGTTACTACAAGGACTGATATTTTCTACAGTACATTTGAGATTGTCGTCCAATTTAATGGAGAAATTTTTAGTTGTGACAAGAACATAGATGGTACATCACATGTTTTTATGTAAGTAGTGAAAAATTTTAATTTTGAAGTTATTAACCATTTAACACATATATCCCACCATTTATACGAAGACACATGATGTACCATCTCGTATAACGATCACGCTAAAAAAACTCTTAATTTAATGAGTTCAAGCACTCCCTTACAAAGATCAACAAATATAGGATGTGACACTTGTCCCTTCTAATTATAATAGGATTATGTCATGTTTAGGCTAACAATTCAGTTAAATTTAAGGAATGGCAGTTAGCTTTAACCTTTTTAACACATATACCCTACCATTTATACGAAGACACATGATGTACTATCTCGTATGACGGTCACGCTAAAAAAACTCTTAATTTAATGAGTTCAATCACTCCCTTACAAGATCAACAAATATAGGATGTGACACTTGTCCCTTCTAATAGGATTATGTCATGTTTAGGCTAACAATTCAGTTAAATTTAAGGAAGGGCAGTTAGCTTCCTCATTGTCTAATGGCGCGTTGTATGAAAGTTGAAACTGGGCAAACTACATTGTGCGAATGAATAATGACATGATTTTCCATTCGGTTTTTTTGTTTAAAATATGATTAGGCTAATTGCCAGTTTTAACATACTAAATCTGTGTTTGTGATCTTTAATAATCGGTTTATTTTTTTGGTGGATTATTGTTGTTGTTGAGACCTGCCACAGACGTGTATCATCCAAATCAATTAATGGTGAGTTGAATTTGGTAGACATAGATGGTTACGTTTCACATGTCGCACAGAGACTCTAGGGGTAAGCATAGAGACCCTTGAGGCTTGAGGACACTGCCCTCCCAGTGGGGTACTCCCGGCCCTAGATATATAGTCCTGTAGAAGGGATACATTTAGTACTCTGTCTCTCTGTTACATTACATTGTATTCTTTCTTTGTCAGCTTAGCTTATTAGCTTAGGGGAGGGACCATGCATATATCTCACCCCCATAGCTTGCTAGCAAACACATTATGCAACCTTGCATTTACTTTTCCTCACTGTTTGGACGGCTGCATTACTCTACTCATAATTTTCATTTCTTTGGATGAAACCAATAGTGGGAGAGGAGGAAATTAAACAGAGTCTCGGATATGTAAAAACGGATGTTCTTATAGCTTCTTCAGTGCTTAGGTAGGGGTTATCCCCACCTGTACCACTCTTTGTCCCTGTTCATGCTCGAATGAGAGAAAAAAGGGGCGTAAGTAGAACACCAGGCCAAGCTTACTATAAAAAGTGGCATAATTAGGGTTTAGATTATATCTTGAAGTGGGGGAGCTCTAGTTTTGCTCATCCTATTGGAGTCGTGCTCCAATAAGAGAAGAGGGGGTGTAAGTAAAACACTTAAACTCCCATTTAAGGTTTAGGTTATATCTTGAAGTGGGATAACTCTCATTTAGCTCATCCATTGGAGCGTAGAACCCTTGACATCCCCATTTCCCTATCCAAATGTACAAAGGGAAACCCTAAAACCAGCTTTAACGCCGGAATTCAGCTTTGCGGAGACGTTTTTACCCACTTGAGCTAAAAATTCCGTCTCATTTTTATCCTTAGTAATATGAAAAAAATAAACAAACGAACAAAAGTTATTAAACGGGTATTCTGCTTATACAAAAAAATGGAAAATCTGTCGCCAGTTGGTGTTTAATTTTGGAACAATTACTGCCCGCGGGCCCTTTTCATTTTCCTGCAGAAACCCTAAAAGCTTGGAAAAATCCAAACAAAGATGCATGGCATGACAAAATACTGTGCAATCATGCAAGCTGCTCCACGTTGATCTCCCGACACGTGGAAGGAACCCATTGGTGGAAGTCCATAATGATGGTGGATGATGACTTGTGGTCAGCAGTTTAAGGTACACTAAGGTTGATATTGGACGGGTATGATCTGTGTATATATGGGAAAGCAATGAGTAGTGTGACATTTTAGGGTATGTGTGTTGTGGAGGGCACGTACGCGGGACCATTTCGAGGACCATTGGAGGATTTGTTCATGGAAATAGCATGGCACGCGTTGTACCCTGTTTGGTTTTGGTTTTTAGACATTCCTTTGCAGAGGGTGAGGGTATGAAAGTATATATGGGTCTGAAGCCAAACAGAAAGAAACCAAACAAGAAAGAGCCAAACACTAAAAGCTAGGGTTTGGAATTTATGGAAGGAGAAGTGAATTATGAGTCTCTGTGTAATTTTGGTTGTTATATATATCAAGGCCCTTTTTTCTTATGCGTATGATTGCATCTCTGGTATTTCTTGGCTTATTATTCGTATCCTCTTACACATGTAACATATATATGGATATGTTTATAACAATGATTTGATTGAACAACTTGACATTGGGATTATCTTGATTTTTATAGAGTTGGGCGAAAATCGTGTGAACAAAATAATGCCATCCAAATCAAATCAATCTGAATCGCGCACAATCATGAAAAATTAGTTATTTCTTATTAGATAGTGATATCAACCATTTTATCTTCAAGAATAAAGTTGTAATTTATTTTCTTCAAAATCTCCATATCAATTATCAAATAGTTCATTTTTATTTGATACATGTAAAAGAATACAAAACGTTTGTTTATTTACTTATGATGTCAAAAGGATTGAATCTACCGACAAACCAACTAAAAGGACTGGTTTGGTTTGTTTATGTAGATTGAGTTATATTTTAATTTTTGTGATACAACGATATATTTTATACTAACGGGTGGAGTATTTGGATTATGCCACAAAATCATACAACATAATAATTTATACTAAATTCACATTCAACGATAATCGAACCTGATACATAAAAGATATGTACTATAACATTATAATCTCGGTATAGTAGCGGGCTAAAGGCCCAATGCAAACCAAAAGTATCGTAGAAGAACTGCCATTCCCCCCAACTCCATATGGGCCTAGACACCCAAAACGTCCTTCATTAGTCGCAAAAGCCAGCGCCACAACTCAACCAATATTTAAAAATGAAATGAAAAATGAACAAACCTTATCAAATTTATAGACCGCATATTAAGAGAATGTTAGTTGTTAATAAAAATCGTCAATTTGTTTGATACTTATAAAAAATGAACATTTCTAAATCGACTGTTTATAGAAGCATACATTAAATGACAAATAAAAAGTGAGCGAATTTTTAGAATTCTCCACTTGAGTTCGAATTCTCACAAATATATTTTTTGGAATCATCAATTCTAATTTGGCATATCATCTGATGCGATGACCAAAAGCACACCGCCTTATGTGGTATCAAAACAGGAAGAATAGTAATTTGGCACATCAACGTGTGGTGAAATATCTCTATTGGTGTGGAAGTGGTCCTTTATTACAGTGATAGAAAAGTATTGAGCTCTTGCATGACAACATAGATTCAAACCCCGTTAATGACTAATCGAACAACTAATCTAACAAAATATATCGTTTGAGTAAAAAAAAAAAAAATATCACTATTGGTGGGCCATCAGGCTATGAATTTGGCCCAGTCCACAATCTCAGACTGAACCGACATGTCTTAATTTCGTAGTCCCCCCTACTCAACGCGTGTTAAAGTCCATTGCTGGTTTGCCAACACACACACTCTCTCTCTCTCAGAAACACAGAAGCGTTTCGGTGCGACTGCGTGTGCTGTAAGCTATGGAGGAGTACTCAGTAGACGACCCAACTCAGCTACTCGAAGCTGCTTCCGATTTCGCAAACTTCGCCGGTAAGCACTTACCATTTTCCGCTCGCTTTCCTTCCAGTTTTTATGAACCAATTTTTTAACAAATATCACTGTTTTTTTTCCTTTTGCAGGTTTTCAAAACGACGATTCAGCTAAGGAATTCCTCAATCGCTTCCCACTTCCCGTCATTCTCAAGTAAGCCCTTTTTCTGCTTCTACCCTTAATTTTTTTTCCAAGTTTTTGTGCTCGATTTCAATATCCTCTCAATTTTTGGTTGTGGGTTTGTGTGCATGTCAACTGTTTGATGAAAGTCGCCAAATTTTTCATGAAACCTAACCGTGGTCTGTATTGAATTTGTTTTGTTTCTCGTCTGCAGTGCTCTGCAAACGAAAACCGATGTGCCGGGTCTGGAAAGCACACTGGTTGCTGTTTTGGAAAGGGTGTTCAAGACAAAATATGGCGCTTCTCTCATCCCCCAGTTCATGGTATGCCTCATTTGTTGTGCTAACTGATTGCATGTCGTTGATGAATTTATTAGTGTTATTGTGGAAAAAGAAAGCGGGGTTCTCCCGAATTTGGTTAGGATACAGTTAATCCTTCTTTGATGACACTTGAAAGCTTTCGTGTTATGATGTATCGGAATGCCCTAAGGGATGCTCTGTCGATGAACATGTCGCTCTGGTTCAATCAAATAAAAGAAATTAAGCCATAGTATAAACCCAATTAATCTTCACAAATAAAGCCGCTTTTGTATGTATTCTGTGTCTATCTAGATTCTTAAACTTCTCCCTTTGCTCTTCTTCAGCCATTTGTACAAGTTGGTCTGACGGCAGAGTCTCAGGAAGTCAAATCTTTAGCTTGTACAACGGTACGTATAAAAACTTCTTATTCTTCTTTGCTTTATTTTGAGATTGTTGAATGTTATTGTTCCTACTTCCTAACTAGATACTTTTTATCTGTTTGTTATGGATTATTGTATATTTGATTTCAATTTGTTTTTTGGGGGAGTTGAAAGTTGAAACTTATATAAGTAACTGGCAACTTTATTGGCTAGTGTAACCTGTTGTCATGAAAACAACCTTCAGGTTTCTTGCCTTCTCGAGAATTTGAATGAAGGTTCTGTTTCTGCAACACGGCTTATACTTGACCACGATATATATCCTCTTTTGCTTGATTGCCTCATTCATGGGTAAGTTTCAAATTTTAAGTTGAAGATCAATACTTGGATCTTTTATTATTTTTTAGTCTTGGTTTTTTTGGGGTAAATTATTTCTCATTTTCATTTTTGCCTTTATCTTTGATGTTCATGATAATGTTTTTCTTCTGGTGTCTAGCAATGAAAAAGTTGCAACTCTAGCAATGGATGCAATAGAGAAGATAGCTGGTTCTCCCAAGGGCATGGTATGGACATCGCATTTACTGCTCTACTCTGACTTTAAATGTGATCTCCTTAAATGTTGTTTTAATGAATACCTGCACTGTGATAACTTATGAAAATCCCTTGCTGTCAATATGTAGGATATTGTTTTCCCAGCTAATACTAAAGAAGCTACGCATCTTGGGGCTCTAGCAGCCCAATGCTCGTCAGTGGTAGGGTGACTGTTACTTTTGTGATTTATAAATATACAGTTAAACTTTCCTGAAATTTGGTTGTTATTTTAGTGAAAGAACTGTAAAAGAAAACTAGTTATCAGCGATGCTGGTCTTTTGCATTTTTCTATTACACAACATTGTAGTGATACTTGACTAATTTGTGCTGTTGACATGTGCATCAGAGGCATATATTAAAGTGGTTGTAAGAAGTTGAGGATAGTTTAGGGTTTTTTTATTAACACCCCACATGTTGCTGAATACACCCCACTTAAAAATGTAATTCTAAACAACTTGTAACTCTAATATGAAATGACTATTCGAGCCCTCAAAGCTACTCTTACTCTCCCATTGTAGAACAAAACCCTAAAAACACAAACAAGTTGATCAAAATATATCTTTTGATGAATGGAACAAAAAAAATCGAGTTTTGCTCCTCGTTCATTCGTTGGTTTTCACATTCAAGAAATTATTTAAATAATGGAATAAAAATTGACTTTTTGCAAAACCCTGCTCTAGTTGGAATCCAAGAAATAGGAAGAAAACTGGAGAATGTTGTAAAATTTTAAGATGTAATAAATGTAATATTCTTGCGGCTGTTTGATGATGAAGAAATTCAATGTTTTTTGGCTGGTTGGAACTGACATGACCTTATAAGAATATTTCCTACCATTTGTCCATCTGGCTTCTTAGAATCCAACATGATTGTTCAAGAAAATTTGACGGATGTTTATAAATCAAATGGCAAGATGGAGATTTTATACAATTTAATTCATCTTTCTTGTCTGTAAAATGTGGATTATTCTATTGTGTGAAAGAGATGAAGAGTTTGATGTGTGGTTAATTAGTTGATGATTGTCGGGTGTACGAGATGTGAGGTGTGGGGTGTACGAGATGTGAGGTGTGAGCTGTGAGGGTAGTATTGGAAAATACATGGGGTGTGTTAAGAAAAATTTTAATTTAAAAAGTAAATGTGGGGTGTATTAAGTACGTGGGGTGTAGTCATCAAAATGTGGGGTGTTAATAAAACAAGCCATAGTTTAATCCATTAATATAGACGTACCAATTTTAGACAGTCAAACGAAATGTTTTTGTATGCGTTTACAATCTCTGTACGAACTTCCATGTATATTGATATTAGTCATATATGCTACTGTGCTTGATTTTAGATTATTTTCTGATTTTCTCTGCTCAAGTCTTTTAAAGAAAAATCATATTAATGTTTTGCAGGGACGGGTCCGGGTTCTGGCTTTGATAGTGAAGCTATTCTCTGTGTCCGCCGATGTAGCATCAGTAGTTCAAAAGTCAAATCTACTTGGACTTTTTGAGGCAGAAATCAACAACACAACTGATACCCTTTCAACCTTGAGCATTTTGGAACTTTTGTATGAGGTTGGCCATTGGTCATCTACACTGTTCTCTCTCTCTCTCTCTCTCTCTCTCTCTCACGCACAATCTGCAAAATGATCTTCTGCATGCTCTGTGTTGAAACTTAGAAATCAGATATGCAGAACAACTAAGCATACATATATTATATGAAGATGAAAAAAGCAGGTCCACTACTTTGTTCTAGGACCAATGTTTAGTACACAATGCTTAAGAGAACTGTGGCCCTTAATTTGTATGTTTTATCTCCAAGTGAATGGCATGTATTAAGTTCTCTCAATTTTCTTTTACAATCCAATCGATAAAGAATTCCAAATTTCTGGTATTGTTTTCTTTTGACAGTCTATTTCCTTGCTTAAAAACTGTATATTGAGATGTTCTTGTTGTATGTGCTCAAATGATAAAGTTGTCAGAGATCGAGCATGGTAGAGAGTTTTTGTCTGCAAGCACCCTTCTGCAACTGCTTAGTTCTATAATCAGGTGCTTAAACAACATTTTTGTTATCTGTTTCGTTTTGAATGCTCTATATTGCCTAAAGTCTTAGAGACAGAAGTGACACAACATAATATCATTGTATAACATTTGTAGCAACAAATCAATGGAGTCGATTTTAAGAACAAGGGCAATGATGATTAGTGGAAGAATTCTGTCCAAGGAGAATTACATACTTGCTGATGAATTAAGTAAGTCTCACAGATTTGGAAATTTGTAATATGATGAATAATATCTGCTCACATCATTCCAGAGTATCATAAAACCACTGTTTTTTCCTTTCATCCTGCATATACGATGCCCCTGTAGTCTAGTGCCTGCATATTTCTGGCACATTTGGTAGCTTTTTTACCTGTATTACGAGGACAGATATCATTAATTGCTGTTAAGGTGCTTGCCATCCCATTCTCTGACCCAAAAAAGAAGAAGAAAAGAGTCTGCTTTAGTGGACACCCATTATTTGTTTCTTAGTTTTAGTTTTTTGGCTTGCTTGCTTGCATTGATCCAATGGAATCAAGGCTACCCCCAAATCTCCAGTTGCAACTGGCCCCCAATTTTCCATTAGGTTTTGAAAGAGAGCGCTAAAATAATATCTTGGACCATGGTATGTCACTCAAATCACTTAGTGATCCAGCATATAACATTAGGTGAATTTGCTATATACATACAGTTATACAAATATATTTCTTCTGTCGCATGCTACTTATTCTCTTTTGAAATGGGGACGATCTTAAATGATTTCAAAGGGTAGACTTTGAGATTTGTTACTAAAGAAAAAAAAAATGCTTTACCAAAGATCGTAAAACCGAAAAAACTGTCACGAATTGCTTTTGATACTAATTTTGATTTTCCAGGTGTAAAAACCGTATTATCGGCCATAGACGGGATACTTAGTTCATCCGATACTCAAGAAATAGATGAATGTGAATCTGCTCTTGAAGCACTGGGTCAAATAGGGTCATGTAAGTATGCCAGTACCTTATCTAGGCTTGGGAAATGATTTTCATAACGTAAAACATATCTACCTATCATCATCAAGAAGTTAATATTTATACCTGGTTTTATGGGAATATGATCTTAGCCATTCAAGGAGCGCAGTTTCTATTGTCAAGTTCACCACCAGCTGCAAGACATGTCATCTATGCTGCCTTTGATAGGCACGGACGTGGTAAACAACTGGTTAGTGAATCTAGTCTTGTCGCTTTATCGGTTTAAGTTCTCCAGCCCTCTTTTCTTGTACAATTTTTTTACGTTCCTTATCATGATTTAATTTGCCAATTTGATTGAATCTGAAAAGCTTCTCCTGTATCGAATAGTGTGTTTGTGTGCATCTTTAGTAAGTAGCTAAGCTAACCCTAACTATAAGATCCAAGATTAAAATGCTGTCACAGTGAGGATTAGAACACTCATTAATCTTCGTTGTAGAAAGAGATATAGTGGTATAAGATAATCTACTTATTTTAGCTACAAACTAGTCTGTCTGTCTATTTGTAATAAAAGTACATGCAAAGAATACAGAAATAAGAGTAGAAAAACTAGGCATTGCAAGAACATCATGTTTTGCATGGTCATGGTATACACCTTTCAAATGGTAAAGGAAGCTGATGACAATGACGAGTATGCTATACTACAATTTCCTGCTTCTTTTTGGACTATTGAGTATGCTGTACGACACTCTCCTGCTTCTAAATCCGCTACCTGTTGCAGCCTACTAGATACACCTTGCGTGGCAAATAGGGGTTATGTGATAAATATGGTCTGACAATTTAACTTCCACAATGAACTTGTAAATGAAATTTTTTAATAACTCCTGAGCCGTGAGTATTCTTCTCCCAGCAGTTGAAGATTGTTATCTATAATTAAATGGGGATAGTTGAGGTTAGAGGTGTATATATATATATATATAAACTTGTTAGGGATTAATAATGCCGTAGTCAAAAAAACGATTTAAATAATCAATCAGCTTTGGATAATCTGAATGCTAGCCAGTGTCTTATGATGTGTTTTCTAGAATCACTGACAATTATTTGACTGGATGAGACTTCGAAGTAGGAAACTAATTCCCACATACTTGTTGACTCTGTTCACTTGATGATATAGTGTCCCCTAACGGGCCTTGTTCCCTTGTCCCTAGGAGCCATCATATTTCACACCCTTATTTAAACATGACTTTTGTGCTCCAGCCCATCTCAGTTGCCATATCATGTAAACAGGGATAACAGATTATTACACGTACCTTCCTTTGGGAGAGAGATTAGAATGCCTGCTATAACGTACTTGAACACGGATGATCTTATGTGTTGACCACATCTAACAACAACCTTCATGGACCCTAAAACAACTTTATTCCTTGATTGCATCCATTGGAATATTGGTTTTGTCCTAATAAAATGATGAATAGTTTGGATTGTAAACATGGGATATAATAAGATGTTTCTAATAATTGACTGACAACTGTTTTTGTGATCTGTCCAAATACTTGGTGATGATAAGAAAGATAGTGTGTGTTGTAGTTTACGTTCAAATTCTTACTTCAATCGTTCTTTGATGAAAATAAAGGCTGCCTTACATGCCCTTGGAAACATCTCTGGAGAAACTCGGCCTGTGAACAGCATGATACTGACTAGTGATGCAGAAGAAAGCCTTCGACGCTTGATTTATGAAACAGCATCTAAGAGTTCAAAGTTGACACCATCTGTGAGCAACTTTTTCCTTCTTAATTTTTGTCCCAAAATATTATTTCATAAACCTCCAAATTTTTTTTTGCACATGGGTGCAGGTTGCCTGCCTGGATTTTCATCCTTTTGCATGAATCCAACAATTTCTTTGAACAGATCAATTGTTTTTCAGCGTCATTTAAGTCTTTAACATGTGTGGAAGTTTTACTTAGTTGTTGATGCAATTGGCAGGGTCTTTTCCTATCAGTTCTCAAACAGGATTCGGAAATTCGTTTGGCGGTGAGACGTTTAATAAAATCATGAATTGTGGATTATTAGTGGTGTGACTGTTGAATACTTTTTTGAACGTGTATATAATTGAAAGTTTGGAGTTTTAAGTAACATGCTCCATTTAGTTTGGTTGTACCCCTTAGACTCCATCTGTAAGTATGATACTTAAATTGGCTGAGTATTTTGTGTTTGTTGTTTTGTTCATTACTGTAATTACTAATTACTTTTTGGAAACACACTACTTTTATATTGTGGATCACCTTTGGAAGTGTTTATCAGTAACCAAAGTGCTATGCTTTAGCTATGTGGTAAAGAACAATGTGTAAAGTAAATTTAAAAATTGGAAGTTTGATGATACTTCTGTAGGCATATAGTAGAAATTTAGATATAAAAATTTATCTTGTTAGCACATCTGATGCTTATATTTGTAATTTTATATATTTTTGCTATTTATTGTGGTTATTAAATGTGGATAATTCAGGGATATCGAATGCTGTCTGGGTTGGTGGCTCGTCCATGGTGCCTGATGGAGATTTGCTCAAAGCAAGAGATAATAAATATAGTAACTGATCCAGTTACTGAAACCACTAAACTAGGTCTGGTTCACTTTTTCTCTACTCACTCAATTTATTACGTTGCAAGTTTATAAATACATAAAATTAACTACATGGAATTAGTTTGTAGTTTGTACTTCTCTAATAATTTATAACAGATAATTCTTTCCAGTGGTACCGTAACTACGTGATACATTCTGACTTTTCAGTGCTCGGTTGTGTGTATTTTGAATGATAAAACCAATACTTATTATCTTACATGGGCTAAATTATTATTTTGGATTGGTTCTCGAATGAATTTCTAAAAGTCCATTGACTAGAGAGTGAATTGACAAAAGGCGTTATATAGAATGATCGCATGATCTTTGTTACAACGATCTCTCTGATTTTCTCCTGCTTTATGCTATATCATTTACTTTTCCCTCTGAATTGAAGTTTGGTTGCATATTTCAGAATTTGGCAAACCCTTAATATGCTTTCCTCTGGTGTCTGAATTTCCTTTGGACTCGGACAAAATGACAACTCTCGTTTCTTATTTTGGGTTCTGAAATTCAATTGGCTTTAATTATTTGTATCTTATCTATTTCACGTGAATGAAAATTACTGTGCAGGTATGGAAGCCAGATACAATTGCTGCAAGGCTATCCACACCGCTTTTAACATGTCAAGTAAACTTGCCAGCGACCAATCTCTTTCTGGGATTGCGGCAAAGGTTAGTTATAACCGTCATTCATTTTTATATTTCCTAGAGTGGGGGAGTTTTTGGGGATCCTTGATTACATCACGGAATAATTTAAACGGTCGGACCTAAGTGTACGCTGGTGTACATATCATTTCTTGAATTTTGTTTGATCCATATACCCTAGTGCAATTGCCATCGTGTGCATCTGTGTGAATTGTCTGGTGTATGTGGGGGGAGAGTTGAAAACCATTGAAGGGAAAAGTTGTGGAACAAAAAACTGAAAATGGTAACCTATTGGTTTAAATAAGAAAATAAAATGTTTTATCTTTATAATTCACTCTTTTTCTTAAACAACGAATCATTCGTAAACACTCATGTTACCATCTCATGTATCTTCTCTTGTTCCTTTCCTTTCGGTACGCAGTTGCACGAAGCTGTTAAAATAGGTCCGTACCTTGCTAGGAAGCACCTTGAGGCTCAACCCGTGGTGGTGACGGAGGACAGATTCTAGACTAACATCAACCACCGTGTGCAGCTTATGAGTATACTCTTACCGTATGTTGCCTACAAAAGTTTGTTCATATTAACAGTGGAAGTGTGTTTAGATGTGAATTCTCCTGAATTTTAAGCTGTGAATTTAAAGGAGAATTACTGCCTGCTGTTTAGAACTTAAATATGTAAAGCTAGAGCGGAATTTGGAATTCCATATAGCATCAAAGACAATTCTCTCAAGTTTCTCAGGATACAGAATTTTCCTTTAATTCCAGTTTAAAGGTAGAAATATTGGTTTCAGTACAAGTATCGGTTAAAACTACAAAATCATGGAAGCTTTTTAATCAACATGAAAATAACGTTCGACATTTTCACAACTCCAAAGTCAACACATTTGCCTGGAACAACATATAGACTTCGTAAAATAATGTAGTGTTATAAATAGGTAAAAGTTAGAGAGATAGCATTAACTAATTACAGGAGCGAAGCAAGTGTAAAAGATCACATTATAATTGTAACACAAGGGAATGACTAATAAAAGTGAGAGGAATAGATACTGATGTTATTTATCTTTTCTTTCTCTCTCTTTTTTATATCTGTAGATAGCAGTCGAAGTGCCCTATTTATAGAGCAACTCCGTATTGTTACATGTTGAAAATTTACAACACACCTTTTGAAAAATGATCTCTTTCATTTCCAAGTCCACATATCAACATTGCCAATGTTTTCATTCATCTACCAAAGTTGCAAATCCAATCTACGTGGGTATTGAAAAAGTCTACCAAGATTTTCAATATCACTGTGGCATTCATTAACTCACTAGCATTTTCAACATGTTGTAAAAATTCACCTTCCATTACTTGTTTCTTGAGGCAGCCCTTCGGTCCTGTGGCCGCTTAACCGGCCACAATTCCGACACCTCATAACAGCGAGTCCTACCCAACTCAGTCGTCGTGATCAGGGTGGCCGCCCTCTTTCCGGCCACGATTTACAAACTAATGTACCGTCGGGCGGCGGGGCCAACATCCAGCGCAGACAAACCCCACATTTAAATGTAGGCCGCTCCTTTTTAACAAAATACTTGTGAAATAAAATTATGATGGACAGAAGAGTAATTCCAGACATCCAATTCGCCCAGGGGTAAAATAGGAGTTTCATATTCTTAGTGGATAAAATTCAGAGTAAGAGCATTCCCTCTGCACTGCAGATAGAGCGCTTCAAACAATTTGAGAGAGAGATGGCAGCTGCAGTTCATTGCCTATCTCCATGCCTATCCCTCCCTTCAAGATTCGGCAAGCTTTCACTCAATGGTCCTTCTACTTCCTCTGCCACTACTCATTCCACAACTTCCCTTAGTTTCTCAGCCACCCTTTCTCCCAATTTCTTCTCCAAAGGTAATCAAAGCTCTCCTCTCTCTCTTTAAATTACTGCATTTTTCTTCTCGGAATTTTGTTTTAACCGTGAAAACTTTGAAACTTTTCCTATTTCAAATATGGGGTTTTCGAGATACGAAGAAGCCCAGTTGTACAAGTCCCAGTCGTGTTATTGGGGTGGAAGATTTCGCATTTTGGTTTCTGTATCATATTATCACCAATTTTTCAGCACCTTACAGTGCAGAATGTTAAATCAAAGGAGAAAAAGTTACATCTTTTTCTTGTCTATTTTCAGGGTATTTGGCTGTGAACCCACTTCAGAGGCCGGTTCGACATTCCATTGTTTGTGAGGTCGCTACGAAGAAGCCCGACTCTGCTGTGAAGAGAGCTCGGCAGGCCGAAAAGAGGAGGATTTACAACAAATCCCGCAAATCCGAAATTAAAACCCGAATGAAGAAGGTACTTCTCTTTTCGGCAAGTTAATTAGATTTTAACTGATGGGTTTTGCTTCTTTTGGCTTGCATTGTATGTAATATAAGTTTATTCTGATTGGTTTCGGGTTGAAGGAAGCACTTGTCTTACATTGTTAACTGATGGGTTTTGCTTCTTGTGACCATGTTTGATACTTGGATTCTCATCTAATTGTGCAACCATATCACTGTCTAAATTGATCTAATAATTGACGTTAACGACCAAGTTCTGCGTTGGGATTCATCATTTGGTTGGTTAAATTATACTTGTTCTAAGTTAAGGACATCTTTACTTCTTAATCTATATGTTTGTCTTGAAGAGCATCTTTCTATAAGTTATGGAAAGGCAATTGTACCAAAGATAATGTATAGATGGAATTTGGTGTAACGCAAGTTGTGCCGGAGAAATTATTTTGCTTAGTAGTTTTGGAGCATCATCTTTTAAAAAACAGAGTGATTTCAGATAAAAATGTTAGCTATGTGCTTGTATACTGTAAGGATACGTGGGCTAGTATATATGTTTGCAGAGATGGTACGAGTTGCCATGAAAGTTTTTGTTTTATCCGGTGTTTCTGTTATTAAATGTGTGTTGTTTCCTTCTGTTCTCTGTTATTAAATGGGAAGATAAAGTTTGAAAGACCCCGTTAGCGTTGTTACCTGCTGAGAAAGGAATGGTTAGCATTTCAAATTGGAATGCCATTGATTAATATTTGGCGACCTTTTCCAGGTTTTGGAAGCTCTGGATGGGCTGAAGAAGAAGCCAGATGCTGCACCCGAAGAGGTCCTTTCTATTGAGAAGCTCATTGGAGAGGCATACTCAATTATTGACAAAGCAGTTAAGGTGGGAACTCTGCACAGGAATACGGGAGCACGGAGAAAGTCTCGACTGGCTAGAAGAAAGAAGGCTGTTGAGGTCCACCATGGCTGGTACACCCCAACTCCAGAAGCTGCTAGTGTCTAACACAACCCGTTGTTGGGTCGGTCTTTTGTTTCCCATAACATTTTGCCTTTGTAATGTGTAGCATTTGTCCTTTGAATGTATACACTTCTCTTTTATTTGGCACATGATTAGCCGTATTCAAATCTGGAAGTATTCAAGGTTCAATCATCAAATAAGATTTAAAGTCATTTTTCACTGATGCTATAACTTCAGCACGAAGTTTTTCTTCCATGATCCAACAAGAGCCGACGACTTCGAGTGAAAATCATTACATAGAAATGCGAATGTGAGAAGAACTATGCATCGACGATTGGAGAGAACTCGATCGATCTATTACTTTTTCGTAGGTTTGCCAGTAGCTACCTGAAACTATACACTCATAAATTCCCTCGTCCAGAAGAGGTTCCGGTATGTCAGCTAGTTGGTCAGCAAGTTCAGAATCTCCCCCCAAAACTCCTCTATTTCTTCAACTACTTCCATTACACACTCGACCATGCTCTCGTTTCCTACACATTCAAACAAAATTCAACTCGGATAATAGTTTCTCTTCTCAAGTAAAATATCCCCGACATATATAAAGTTGTAAATGGCAACAGCTACTGGCTAAAGCTAGCTAAGTTTGATCAGTAGTACAGGGAGAGTCCTGATTAGTGGAAGAAGTAGGAGAGTGTGACGATCCTTCTCCTCCTCCTTGTCGGATTTCAGTGAGCGGTGATGTGCTTTTTTTGCTATAACAGTACCCGAAGTATAGTGTGTTCACCAAGCGAAGCATTCTTTAGGAGCAGGTAATCAATCCCGTTCAACCTTCTTGTATACTTTGACAACAAAAATGTTTGAGGTGCCGTTCATCAGTGTTGATTTCGAGACTGCTTAATTAGCAGCGTTTGGGTTCAGACACAACCCAACTGCAGGCAATGAATGCATGAACTTTCTATGTACAGTATGTGCAAATTTCTCCCTACGTAAATGCAGAAGAGGTTTGAGATTTGACATGAACTTTTGTTTTCTGTTCTTCAACGTCTTTGTGTGCAACAATTCTAAGAAATTCTAAGAACGAAAAACAGATTAGCATCGATCATCCACAGAACTCAAATATATCGAAAAAGCCTTCGTCGTCTTGTTTCAGATCATTATACCATCAAGAGAGGTAAACTTAAACTCGAAAATAAAGCTTTACCTTGCTGCTTTTGATGTCGCCTGGCGAAAACAACACAACAATCGATCCTTTATCGGTTCATAGAAACCATTAATCCGTAAAGATAATTGAGAAGACAAAATATGAAGGATACCTCTGAAGGTTTTACCTCCTAGCTATGCTAGGAAAGGGATGCATGTATCCTGACTTAGACTCGCATCACCAACATCTTAGTCCCACACTAGCCACAGCAAGAATAGGTAAACAAAGAGACAGAATAAATAAGGTTGTACGAAACATTACTAAGCATACCTTTCTCGGCCTTTTGGCTAAGATCAAGTGTAGTATCTGTTCTTATCAGTTTAATATCTGATACGTGGACCAATGATCCACACGATATTAAATTAATTTTTTAAAGGGGAGAGTTTACTACAGTAGCTTGCTACTAGGGCTCTTGAGCGTCGCCTAAGTGTAGCACTACTGCTTGGGCTGGCGCACCCCACCAAATCCAGTTTTAATATGTTATAGTTATATGTGGATTGATCTAATTCTTTTTTGTAGTTGTAAGTTTGCAATTCTAATTTCATATCCACACCAAATGAATCAAACTTGTAAAAGAGAATTTCAGATCGTAAATTCATTCAACCCTTTTGCATTTTTTCACTATTGAATTTCAGGTTAAAATATGTTTGAGATGTCATCGATCATGTCGTTTCCAGATTGCTTAATGTAGCAGGTTCAGATTCAGACACAACCATTTAAACTGCAAGAACTGAAAGCAGGAACTTCCTATCTGTGTGTAAGTTTCTCCAGAATGCACAAGAAGTTTGACATCATGGCCGGTACACCCCAACCCCGGAACAAGCGAGTGTTTGATCAAATCTCTTTGGTTGGTCATATTTTTTGTTTCCTATGACATTGTTCCTTTCGTAAGGTGATGTATTCATCCTCTCGATGCATACACCTCTCGTTTTATATGGAACAATAATTTTATTCCATCTTTTTGCGCAATGAGTCTCTTGACTTTGTCTTGACCACCAAATTCCCTCGTAAATTCCCTCGTTCCACAAAGCGTTCAAGTTCACCCGCTAACTTCTCACAACCATTTTGCAACAAGCAGCAACACCGCCACCCTCCACCCTCCCACAAGCCATATAACCACTTATATTCTCTTTCGCAACATTTTCTGACAATGTTACACCCACCCTCCCCCTTGCTGGCGCTTCCTGCGTCCTACACATTTAAATAAAGTTCAGCTTGATTACTAGTCTGCATCAAATTAATATGATATGTCAGACTATCTTGCAAGAGAAAATTTTCCCGTCATATATAAAGTTATAATTAATCAATGACAACAGCTATAGCTTATAGGAGTACGATCCTTCTCCTCTTCTTGTTGGAGTTCAATGAGGATCGATGGGAAAGGGAATGCAGGCATTAGCATTGCATTGTTGTAAAACTGCGGCTAATGTATACTTACTTAGGACTCACGTCTCCAACATCTAAGTCCCACACCGGCCTTAACAAGAATGGGTTAAGCAAAGATACAGAATAAATAAGGTTGTACGAAACAGTAATAAGCATACCTTTCTCGGCCTTTTGGCTAAGATCAAGTGTAGTATCTGTTCTTATCAGTTTAATATCTGATACGTGGGTTGAAGGTTCACATGATATTAAATTAATTTTTTTTGGGGGAGAATTCACTACGATAGCTTGCTATTGAGATTCTCGTGTGTCGTCCAAGCGTTGTACTACTGTTTGCGCTGGCGCACCCCACCAAAACTAGTTCAATTCTTTACGATTTTATGCCCAATTCTTTCTACTACAATTTTATGCTCAACTTTTATTTCCATAGATGATTTTACAAAGAAGAAACATGTCATAATTCTTTCTTTTTTAGTAGTGGTAGGTTTGGCAATAGCAACGCAGTGATGTGTATTTTAAGTTCTTGTAAAACAACAAAAAAAAATTCAGATGGTAAACTAACTACCCAATGATGACGTCATATTAAGCACGCCTTAAGCCCTGATGTTTGTAGGGCACATCCCACCACAATAGGTGAGTAGAAATCACTAGTTCATAATCTTGAGAGGAACTCCAAAGATGGTGATACCTCACCTTAGCGTGCTCCTCAATCAAGGTTCTAAAAAATGCTAGGTGCTAGTCGAGTGGCAGGTAGGGGCCTAGCGCCTAGGCGCCTATGTAAATTTATTATATATCTTATAAATAAGTGTCTATTTACACCTAAAAAACTATACTTCTATGGATAATAAAAGAATAATAAAATGCAAAAATAAAAGTAGAAGACTACAGAAAGTATATACATCCAAAAAGACATAACCCAAAAAGACCTTGTATGTTTAGTTATTTACAAAGAAAACTCTAACCTAAAGATGATAAAGGATTCGACAACAACTTCTAGATATTTTGTTTAATTTATTATATATTCTCAATCCATTATTAATTAAACAAGTCTTTTTCTTTGTTCATTAAATCAATTCTGACACCCAACTCTCATCTTATTAAACAAGTCTTTTTCTTTGTTCATTGAATTTCTGACACCCAACTCTCATTTTCTTTTTTCTTTATGCCGTCAATTCCAAAGTCTCCATCCCTTCTCTTCACTTCTCCATCAAAACGCAAATCCCTTGGGTTAAACAACCCAGTTACCATTTTCATGCGGTGTCGTCCTATCATCGAGCAAACAAGCCTTCATCTTCATCAAATCGCAGATCCCGACCAACCCAACCCAAAAATCAACTGAATTGTGTGGGCCTAATAGAAGCATATTTAGGCAACTTAGTTGACTTGTTCTTGTGCATTTACGTTGTTATTTCTTAGTTCTTTAAGTCTTTTAAGTTACTTTCGTATGTTTTCAGGTTCTAAGGGCTAAAGGAGCAAAGAAGTGCATTTTGGAGCTTTTCGGAGCACTTTTGGGCTAAGAATGGATAGCTTATGCTTGAAGCCAAAGTGTTGGACGAAATTGAAGGCCTTGTATGCACTTTAGGACATAAAACAAAGGGCCTAGCCCAATCAAACAATCCTTTGAGCCATGCAAAACCTCTAGCCCAATCAAACAATCCATCAAAGCCATGCAAAACCACCATCCACACACACTTCACATAAACAACAACCCTTAGCCGTACCTTCCCCTTGCATTTCCAGCATTCCACACCATCATTGCAGCCACCATTCACTCTTTAATCCACATGCATTCATCATCATTCACCCTAGCTGTTTTTCACATGCATTCTCTTCATTAATTCAGCCAACACATGCACCCATTACCTAACACACACCTTGCCGTGCATCCCATTCCATTTTCCAGCTTTTCTCCTTCTCTTTGCAGCCACACTTCCACATGCATTCCCTCTTTAATCATTCTTTTCCTAGCTGTTTTTCCATCATTATTTCAGCCACATGCATTCTCAATCATAAGAGCCACATGCACTCTTAAACAATCATCCACATATTCTCCCATTCCCCCTATAAAAACCCATGCATTCATACACAAAAACACACCACAACTAACACAACAAGCCTTTGCAGTGGCTCCCCCTTCCATTTCTGCACCATATCTCCTCCATTGCAGCCACTCCAACCACTCCCCATCCCTCCAAAACCTATCCTTAGACCTTGTGCCACAACAAAGAGGAGGAGAAGAGTGCCTAAACATTCATACAACTCAAGTTTGAGTTGTTGGAATTTTTAGGTGTTTCTTTTCCTCGATTACAATGTTTAATTTCAATTCTCTTTGTCTTGTACGTATGAGGAACTAAACCCCCCCTTGGCTAGGGGGGGATTCAAAATACATGTTTATGCTTGCAATATGATTTGATTACTTCCAATTGCGTTTCATAAGTTGTGGATTCAATTTGTTTAACTATTTGATTGATAACCTATTTATGTATGTTTATTGAGAGTGCAGGCTTAATTTTCATGCATGAATATGACGCTAGAATATAAGTAAGTTTCACCTAATAGTTATGAACTTATATTCACAAGTAGTGGAGGTTGCTTATAAACAATCGCGTTAAGTAAATTCTTGGCATAAGTTTCATGCAATTCATAGTAACGAATGCCTCGTCAACACTTATGGTTTTCAAAGAACTTAATGATTCTTGCTTGTATCTCTATTATGCAATTCATGTAGGGAACTTGTGGGGAATGCTTTGGGTTGTCGTATGCAATCATCCAATTCATTAACTTAAGGAAAACTTGACGGTTAATTTAAGCGGACCTAATTAACCCGGGGTGTTGAGAATTCATGGTTTATTGAAAAGCAATTAGAAATCATTTTGTGTGCAAGTATAACATGTGTGAAGATGAACCCCTTAGCTAGCTTCCCATCCATTCAATTCCATCAAATTCATATTTACAATTTGTTTTCTTTACAATCTATCCATTTTAGTTTAAATTCGTCCAAATCCAATCCCCCTTTACTTTGTTGAGTCATAGTAGTTAGAAATCAATTTAGTTTGTGTTTTTAGAATATGGTTTAGTTTGGTGTCTTATATTGTGTTTTTACGTTTTTGAGTCAAATCCAAGTGATTTTGCAATCTCTCCTAATCCCCGGCCTAGAACGATCCCTACTTACATACTTACTACAAATGATAAAAAGAGGGTTAACTTGTGTGCGCATAATTCTCGCATCAGGGCCAGTGTAGTGGTGATCCCCGACGGTGATGGTTTCAAGAAGTTCCAGATGTCTCTCTCTCTCTCTTCTTTCAACAACGAAATTGCAGATCTCTTTCTCCTTCCTCAACAGATCACTCTCTTGTCGTTAGTACAAAGAGTTTTTTTTTTTTTTTTTTTTTTTTTTTTTTTAAACAAAACCAAGAGGCTACCGAGGCCGCCTAGCCCGAGTGCCGCCTAGCAGCCACCTAGCCCGTGTTTTAGAACACTGTCCTCAACTCAACTCCTCGTCCGACGATCATCTTTTTTGCATCAGAAAATATAAAATATACATTAGTGAACAAACAAAATGAATAATCCAAGAATTAGAATTCTTGCTGAAAAAAAAAAGAATTAGAAAATTCAAATTCAAGCATGTAAGACACAATAATTTGATAATCTCATCACTACGAGCACAATAATTCGGTAATCTTACAACTGAAACAAAAGAATTTGAATGGCATAATTCTAATGAATTGTGAGCAATTTTTTATTTTTTTTATTTTTTTTATTTTTTTTTTATGATTGTGGAAGTAGCATTGGTATTAACAATTTAAGCATCTTTTTCTAACAGCATGGAAGTTAGCCCCATTTTCTCAACTTGTAATATGTTAATCCCACACCGTCCACTGCAAGAAAGGGCAAAGTGAAGACAGAATAAATACGGTTTTACGGCTCGTTACTAAGCATACCTTTCTCGGCCTTTTGGCTAAGATCAAGTGTAGTATCTGTTCTTATCAGTTTAATATCTGATACGTGGATCAATGGTCCACACGATATTAAATTAATTTTTTAAGGAGGAGAGTCCATTGCAGTAGCTTGCTACTGGGTCTCTCGCGTGTCGCCCAAGCGTTGCACTACAGCCCGGGCCTGGCGCACTCCACCAAATCTAGTTTCAATTTGTACAGTTTTATGCCCTGTTAAACTTCTAATTCAATTACATGATTCTAGTTCAAGTGGTGGAGGAAAAGCATGAGCCCTGCGACTCCACCAAATCTAGGTAATTTCTCTATCGTACACCTGGTTTAACGATGCCCGTTTATTACTAGAGGTTAACCTTGTTCAACTCCCTATGTAGGGTTTGAGACTTTGAGTAAGACTTGGATGCCGATTTCGTAGAGCGAGTGAACAGATTGGAGAGATCTTTTTTCGCTAAGAAAAGGAGAGATTTGATGTTGGGATGGAGGCAAAGCCTAGATTTGAACTTTGGGATATATTCTCATGTCATCCAATATTCCATAACACACCGCACTACTCTGGTAAATTTGAGTAGACGTACCTGGAGGGAGAGTCCAGAGTGGGAGGAGTAGGACTGTTTGAAAGCATGGAGTATCCTTGTCCTTGTCATTGTTGGATTTCAGTGGGGGTTGATCGGAATTGAATTCAGTTTTCTTGGAGTTGAAGGAAGTGATTCCATGTTCCTTTCTGTATATTTTGACAATAGAAATGTTTAAGATGTCGTCCATCGATCGTGTTGGTTCAACACTACTTACGGGTGTGGGGTATCAAAATTTATATGGACTTTTGTTGAGTTTTTGAAGTAATATACTTTCACGGATTTAGTAGGCTTTTACTGACTATTATAAGCTCTATAAAAATTTCAAACTTTTAATGATATATTTTTTGTGGAAAATAAAGAAGTTTAACGATAGACTTTTGTAAAATTCTAAAGAGTTCAATGCTAGAATTTTGTGGATTGTCATGGACTTTTTAATAACCAATTTATTAATAAGCATTATTATTTTTAAGTTTTCATTATTGAAATGGTGATCATGACCATGATAAAGTGGTCTTATGAGGTGCTGGCAATGGTAGGGGTGAAAGTGTGTCCCGTGGTTATTGTCGGCAAAGTGGTGATGGTAAAGCCGGTGTCTATGGTCATGGAGGTAATAGTAGGGGTGTTGATTGTGGTGGTGTGGTGGTGGAGGAGTAGGGATGAGGCGATGGTGATGGTGATGGGCTGGTGATGTTGGTTGTAGAGGTGGCAATTATGGTGATATGTTGTTCCATTCTCAAACCATTTAGCAGGGGCGTTACCTCACCTTTTTTTTTCGGTATGCGGTATGCTGCTCCACAAGCAAGGAGCATCCAATGTGTGGTGGTGGCGACATGTTGGTGAAAATGCTGATAATGAATAATAAATAAATTAAAAAATTTTAAAAAAAAACTTACTATAAAAGCACTCAAAGTCTATAAAAATCCATGAATTCGAAAATCTTTTAAAATAAATGAAATTTTGAATACACTTGAATTTTTGTAGACTCACAAAAAGTCATAATTGAATGTTCATAGAGTTTTAAAAGCCATAAAAATCTTTACTTAATACAGAGTCACACAATTCACCCCTCTTGAACGTAGTAAGGTTGGGTTTTAGACAATCCTTTTTAACCGCATGCAACGAAGACATGAACTTTCTACGCATGTGCAGACTTCTACCTCTGTGAATGCACATGAGGGTTGAGATATGACTAAAACCAATTGATTTTATTAAAGTTATGACTGAGTATCTAAATCTTGATGAATTCTTTCGTTATGACTGATTTTAATTTGCACCTTTCGATGTTGTTTGGCGAAAACAACACAAGAATCGATCCTTTATCGGTTTATCCATCCCTAATGATCCTAGAGCCATTAGTTTTTAAAGAGAATCGAGAAGACAAAGTTTCAAACGTCCCTGTGAAGGTTTTTACCTCCTAGCTAGGAAAGGGATGCATGCATGCATTGCAGTAAAAATGTGGGCGATGCAAACTTATTTAGGACCCATGTCATAAACATCTTAGTCCCACACCGGCCACAGCAAGAATGGTTAAGCAAAGAGACAGAATAAATAAGGTTTTACAATTTTTTATTAAGCATACCTTTCTCGGCCTTTTGGCTAAGATCAAGTGTAGTATCTGTTCTTATCAGTTTAATATCTGATACGTGGACCAATGGTCCACATGATATTAAATTAATTTTTTTAAGGGGAGAGTTCACTACAATAGCTTGCTATTGGGACTCTCACGTGTCGCCCAAGTGTTGCACTATTGCTCGGGCTGGCGCATCCCACCAAAACTAGTTCAATTCTTTGTGGTTTTATGCCTAGTTCTTTCTATTGCAATTTTATATTAAACTTTTATTTACATAGATTATTTTACAAAGAGAAACCTTTTATAAGATTCTTACGCGTCGCCTAAGCGTTGCACTACTGCTCAGGCCTGGGGCACTTCACCACATCTAGTTTTAATCTTTTACAGTTTTCATGTCTTGTTCAACTTCTAATTCAATTACGGTGATTTTAGTTCGAGTTTCATGACTCTATTTCATATCGAATCCGAGTCCATATTAAACACTTGAAAGTTGAAACCAACAACTCTTAGGGATGAAGGAAAAGCGTATGTGCCTCAAGGGTTTCATCTCTGATTTTCGATAATTTACAGCCTCATTAACGTATAATTCTAGTACCGTACGTATAGATTTAGATTTTTAATCACTTCACACTTCGCAAATCAGTTTTCATGATTGCAGAAGGGGGAGAGAACTGTATCCAATTCTTTTTTATTCACAATATTTTTATTTGAGTTTACTCATGCCTCACTCAATTTTCAATTATTTAAAGACGACTTTGATGATTTTCTATTGGAATGATCTTGTCACTATGTACATCGATCACTGCATGTTCAAGGCGCTCCTCAACATCTCCAAATTAAATATGTTATCCTTTCGGCGGTCCTCTTTCTTCCTGCTCAAAATGGTTGCTATCAAGGTTCTAAATTTCTTTCTCAAATCTAAAAATTTAATCAAATAACGAATAACGAGAAAAAAAATACAGAATGAAAGTGGTGTGATCACTAAAAGGTGTTGTAGCCCGTGACACTCCCAACAGACTTTGGCAGCTAAGGCGACTGGTGGCGTGGCCATTTTGTTGCAAGTCAAAATTCTATGTTCATTATTACTACCAATCAATCCATGTTGCCACCTCCGTTTTGGCCAATATTTAACAGTATGATGGTCCCATTACTTGAATGGAATGATTGAGTTGATCGACGGTTCATGTGAAGTCACGTGATTGTATTCCGACGAACAATGAGAATCGAAACCATTTTGATTTTCAGAGTTTCTGCAGCACCTTTGGCAGTGGGTAGGCATTACCCATTACTTGAAACCAGTTCTATGGCAGCAATGGATGAAATTCCAAGTAGACCTCATACAACAATCGTCATAACTTTACCGTATCTTTTGTTTCATTTCTTTTGAAACAATCACTACACTTTTTTTATTACGGATCTACTATCAGAAATTCAATGCATTATCTTAGCATTCAATGTTTATTCCTAAATAATCTCATTTTTCAATTATTCAACCAAGCGGAAAAACACAATGCATATGATCAACCAAAGCAAAACTATCCTTGCACGCCGCCAATAGGATTGAAATAAAATTTCGGTGTTAGACCTTGGCTTTTTAAACAGATCAAAACTGCGATGTAGAAGACTATATATGTCTCGTTCAAAAGTGGTTAGTTCCAGATGAGCTTTCTGATAGGCTCACTTTGATGAGAGTATGAAACTGATAGAGGTGGGAATCAGTGAAAAACATCAGAAATGCAACAGAAATTTCTTGAAAACTATTCAATCTTCAAAATACTATTGACTTCCATGATTGAATGTACCTCAGGGTAGCCCTAGTTTTCAACGCCAAGCAGTTTCCGGTTACAAACAAAATTACAATCCATGAAAAATTTCAATCCGTTTTCTTGGTGGAGGACTCAGGGAGGACTGAGGGGCATGAGTACGATGATTTTAGAGCGCGTCTAACTACCGCCACCAGCCACCAACTGCGCACAGGCGGGCGTCGCATGTAGGCAAGGCAACGTAGATAGGCTGAGCTTAAGAGATCTGATCATATTTTATATTTTTACATTATTCATTTCCAGTTCCAAAATGTTAATTTGAGAGCATCTCCAAAGGAGATGTCAAAATTGTCACGTAGGCATACAATAGTAAAAAAAATGGCAACAAACTCTTTCCAACCGAGCTTTCAATTTCTTAGGTGGGGCTGAGTCATTCAATTTTTTGCTGTGAAATTTGACAGCGTCAAATTTATTAAATGATATTTTAATAGCTTAATATAATATTTAATAAATGTTGTTAAGTTTTTGAAATATTTGATTGGTTGCCTTAATTATTGGACTCCACAAAAAAAATAAAAAAATTATGAAATGACATTATTATTTAACATATCGGGTGAAACAAAATATTGTACAAAATGTCAAATTGCCACTATCATTTTGATGTTTTAAATTTGACATCTCTTTGGAAATGCTCTGAGATGCCAATAATTCAAGAAGAAAGGGAATTTGAGAAAAGAAAAATCAAATTGTAAATTTTTAATGTTGATTACTTTTCTGGCTTTACGAAACACAGTACAATGCTTTTCGTCAGTTTCAAAAGTACTTAGCTGATTATTCAAAAGAGTGCATTTTGCAGTTCAAGTAAACCTACAACTAGAAAGAACGTCTTACCTTGTTCTCAAACTTCTGTACCCAAAGGCCATGTCAAACTGTCATTTTCTTCTGCTTGTCCACCTTCCTTTTTCGACTGGACATTCATAGAATACATCAATATTTCGGTCCTTGGCTCTGGCATCATCCCCTTTGATGTCATCTCACGGAAATAGCGCAAAGTTTCCTTGACCCTTCTCTTATCATGGAACCCATGAATCATAATGGTATAAGATCGCCGGTCAGGTCCCAACCCATTTTTCTCCATCTCGTCCCACGCATATCGCACTCTTTCCTGACAATCCCATTCCATATACAACTACAACAGCAAGTTGTAGGTGTCACCAGTCAGGTTGCATCCATTTTTCTGCATTCTCTCCAACAGGCCAGGAACTTACTCTGGTTTCTTCGACGACTTAAGCAAGTAATTGAAAGTTACTTCATTGGGCAGACAGCTACCCTTCCTCTGTTTCATTTCTTCCAAAAGCTCGTAAACCTTCTCCATACACCGTACTTTGCATGTTTAATTAGTGAGTTGTATGTTGCTGCATTTGGGCGACATTGTTGAGCATTCATTTCCTTAAATACTTCCAATGCACGAGGAATCCTCTTCTTGAAACAAGGAGCATCGATTATGCAATTGCATGTCACCACGTCTGGGTTGCAACCCTGATCCCACATTGCTCGAAATAACTTGAGTGCCGTACCCAACTTTCCTTTCCTTTCCAAAACCTTGTCGCCTCACTTCGCTCGCACACACCATCCATTAAGAATATATTCCACGTTTTTATATCTTGCCCGAACTCTTTCCCCTTCACGTTAAACAAAGCTTCCGCAGCTTCTACATGCTTATACCGGCATAACCACAGTATAAGCTTCTGAAACGCAACCAAATCAAGCTCGAGACCAAACTCTTTTCTCTTGTAAAATCTCATATGTTCCTTCACTGATAAGTCCCTCTCTCTTGTGCATTTCCACGAGCACGTGGTAGACTTCATTGAAAGCCCGCATTTTCTTCAGAATCTGCAACTGAGTGGACGAAACAAATCGTGTTATTCCTACCCAGAAAGTAAAATAGGGAATTTTTAGTGAAAGTTTCGAGCTTTGGATTCGTTGGGATCTGAAAGTTGTGAAA